CTGTACAATTTAGATAGAAAGATGAAATTTAAATGCAAAGCAGGAAGTAATGCCAAATGATAGTAGAAGATGTAGCACGCAATCCTACAGAAGACATATAAGTGCTTGTAACTACAGTCAGTGAAGGTATTGTATAATTTTTCTGTGATTCTCTGAGGCTAAAATTTGGCCAGGGTCCTTCCCATCACCAGCCAGGAGTAGGCAGCTGGAGGAAACAGGGCTGTCCTAGCTGTGGGCATTGAGCACCTGCCTGGGGATGGGGATGAGCTGAGGCCAAGCCTGAATTTCATACTGCAGATGGACGTGGCTCAGGAAGGCCCATGGCTGGGCTGGCCAGGGCTGTGGGGAGATGGAGACCAGCCCTGCTGCAGCATCACTGGGGCTGATGGCCCAAGATGCTAACATAGGGTCTTGGGCTGTGGGGATCCCAGAGGGGCTGGGCAGGGACAGTCAGGGCTGGTGGTGCCATCAGGGCCCTGGCACTTCCACTGGTTCTCAGTTGGCTCTGTTTGTAACAGCAGTAATTTTTTTTGTTTCATTTTGCCAGTTTATGCAATATTAAAGGGTTGATTTAATTTTTCCTTTGCCTTCTCACTGGAGAATGTAAGTAATGCAAAGTGATAATTTTGAGCAAAAACAAAACCAGAAGCTAATTCTGTCTGAGAAAAAATATGTGAAGACTTGGGTAATTAAATTGGTAGTAGTTAGAATCACAGTTTAATTACAAGTGAAACTGAAAATGTGTGTTCAGACCAGTTGAAGTCAGGGGATTTATGATATTAGAAGACATAAAACTGTCCTTCCTAAATTTTGCTTCTTTATTCTTCTCTTGGAGATGCATATATGAACAGGTTAAAAATATCTTTATACATTTATGATGAGAATACCACAATGTAAACTGTAGATTTACAATTGAAAATTTCTGTAACTTTGTATGTACCTTTTATTCATAAGTGCAGCATTTGGAGTTAAAGCAATATGAGAATTTAGCAACAACAAAATTATTCAAGTAATCTGGGGTATGATGGAACATTTAGAAGCAAACAATATGCTTAAATTTAATTTAAGTAATAAATGCTTAGATAGGAAGCAAAGAAATTACTTGTGATGAGTTTATAAAGCTGCTGATGCTACGAACTGGATATCATCCCTTCATAACTTAGTTTCCTGGTTAGACTCAGGCTCATTCCTAAGACATCACATTAGTTTTATGGGTCTTATTGCTTTGAGGACAATGGCTATATCTCAGAGTAAAAAATGGTATGAATATACTAAAGATTTGCATCAATTTTATATTTTTTACATCTTGCTCTGCCTTCACAGTTAGCAAAAGCTTCTAACAGTTGTTATAGTGAGAACATATGAAACACATAGGTTTGAATGTGACTTGAAAGAAGGAACTAATAAACAGTTTAGTTGCCTTTTTATCAGTCTGCGGATGTCCTCAATCCTAAATTTTGGCTTCTGATTAAAGGCAATTATTCATGGTTTTACATCCTTTCCTTTTAACACTCCTATGTGTAATTGTCATTGATTGATTTATTTAATATTCCTATGGCTCAGTTTATGTCTGTGGAAATTTTATGTATACCTGTACTTTTTCAAGTAATAATTGAGAAGAAGGAAACAGAAAGATTCAGTGACTGCTGAGACCATTGATTATAAGGGTTTCTGTGCTATAGGGGGCATAAAACCTAATCCTTAAAACATTCTACACAAAACAGCAGAAATCTATAAAGTGCAGATTATTTATTTCATGTGGCATGTGTTATCTGCACATCAGAGACTTAGAAAATACATTTTTCTTTTAAACTTTGCTATGCACAGTTTGCCAATGAACCCACTGGAGTCTGGTGCTTAACTTGTAATATTTTTCAAGTCATCACATGTGCTTACGTATAGATGAATACTGAGATACATACATGGGTAGCTTTGTGGATGAGATAACAAATAGTTCTTAATGCTTTTTACAAGAATAGGTATTTTTTAATCTCCTTTTTATAAATGGAATGGCTATTTGTTATAGCATTTGTTTCTAATGACAGTGCAAGAATTCAACATCATCCAGGACTCCCAAATAGTTGGTAAAAGCGGGTCAAAGCATTGGAGCATGTTTTACAAAGTTCCACTTACAAAACAGAAGAAATTAAAGTAGGAATAGGAAATATCAGAAATAAATCCATGAATATCCAAAAAGAAAGGAAGATATTTCCATCTCAGTTCCTTTTTTGTTTTCCATGTTTCTACTTTATTTCCTTTTTCCCCCTCAAATTATTGTTTGACAACAATAATTTCCATTGTTTCCTCAAATTATTGATTCTGCAGTGTGAAGACCTGAAAGGACTTCTTACAGACAGCAGACTCTTCATGTGTGCCAGTGTAATCCAATATTACACACATTTGACATTTCTGAACTTAATTCTTGCTGGAAAGCATCATGCCAACAGCGTCATGTTTTTTAAGCATTCTTTTCTCCTTTGCTAGTAATTTCAGGATCTCTTCTATAATCAGCTTTCAAGATCCAGTGAAGGTCTGTACTATGAAAAGACTGAAAACTAGATTGGCAAGTATCTGAAAAATAGACTATACAAAATACTGTATTGCGAAGAGGATCCAGCAATGAACAACTAGTATACATCAAATAAACATATACATGTTTATATATAGATGTCTATATATATCTTCACACTTTTTCACAATGATCCTTGGTTCCAGAGTGTGGAAGAAAGACAGAATGCATATAAGCAGTTCACATAAGAGAGATTATATAAATTATGCATGAGGGCAGAATGGGATGGATTTCTGGGAGAAACAGGCATTCAGGAAATAGAATGGTAAAAGAAAAAGATAGCAAGAGAAAGGAAACATTCCCATCTTAAGCGATATAGTAAATAATAAATTGGAAAGGATAAGAGGGAAGAAAGAAATGATTGGTTGAAGAAGAAGCTGTGAAGACTGCAAAAAGCACAGAAAAGCAGAAAGCAATGTGTAGTTGGCGTTACAAAGCTAATATCCAACAAAGATTAACACCGTGTTACATGAACTCATAATTATCCTCTACACACAGAAATACCTAAAGCAGTGTAGAGTCAATGAAGATACTTTCAGAGAAAATTACATGTAATTTATTAATTACATAAGGGCTTGAGGTTAGGAGGGAGGGCCTATGCTTTATGCAGTGAGTTCTAATCTGAAACACAGAGAAGTCAACATTTCTGGGCTACAAATCAGGTCAAGAAGTTAGGCAGAGATACATTCAGGGTTCAGATGAGCTGGAAGATGAAGATGTAAATCCCAGTGAAAATGGACAGAAAAATTCTGCATAGCTGGATAATATGAAGTTGTGTTGATGGTTCATTCTCCACTCATACCTCCTCTGAATGGAGATAAAGCATTTACCAGCAATAAGGTGATCCTAATATAATTTAAATCAATTCTCTAAGTGTCTGAAGTTATACTAGTAGGAGATTTGTCTTAGTAGAACTCAGAGCAGCCTTCCAGTACCTAAAGAGGGCCTAGGAGAAAGCTGGAGATGGACTTCTCACAAGGGCATGCAGTGATAGGATAAGGGGTAATGGCTTTAAACTGAAAGAGGGGAGAATTAGATTAGATGTTAAGAAGTTCTTTACTATGAGGGTGGTGAGTCACTGGAACAGGTTGCCCAGAGAAGCTGTGGATGCCCCATCCTTGGAAGTGTTCAAGGCCAGGTTGGATGGGGCTTTGCAAAACCTGGTCTAGTGCAAGGTGCCTCTGCCCATGGAAGGCAATTTGGAACTAGATGAGCTTTAAGGTCCCTTCCAACCCAAACCATTCTGTGATTCTATGATTCTCTGACAATTTGTCTATACTAGGGGTTTTGCCCTTTTTAGTTATGCTGCTTGCAAGTATAAAGGCTATTCTCTTTGTATCCTGTGTGAAGAGACAGCTATGCCAACAGAATTCATGAGTGTAGGCCATGCCTCATTGGCTTTGAGTGAAGCCACAGTACTGATGGAGATTTCCTGACAACTGCCTCCAAATTATTTCCATCCTTTTAATGGCAGTCATTTAGAGTGAGAGGTAACTATTTGTAGCTTCATCAGCAGGAAAGGAAGTTGATAAAAATCATAGTTCCTTCCATATTCTGGGGAGAGCTGCTCTTAATTCCTTTTAAGGAATTTTATCTATTCACAAGCAGATGCTTCAATTTATGGCAAGAAGAATAAAACACAGATTGCTTTCACAGTCTGCACTTTTATCCCATGCCAGACATGAGTCTAGTAGTGTACAAAAGCAAGTAGCAGCCCTGGATTTCATCACCAGGAAGGTAATCAGAGTCTGAACATGTCAGTAAAGTGCATGGCGTCTAGCAAGACATATTCTTTCTTACTGACTGGTACAGATGCAAGACTCTGTAGTAATTAAACCTTAATCTCATTGCAAAATTCTGGCAAATCACTCCCCTGCCTGCATAGTTGGTTTGTATATTATACCTGTGGGTAACAACAACATATTTGTGAAATGGGTTGCATTTGTGACAGCCAAAATTAAAGTGATCTGTGGAGCCTATGAAATCCTTCAGGGAATCAAGGAAAGCCTGTATTATGCTTAGAAATGAGTCCAGACCTGATGAGTGAATCAGAATTCAGCTTTGGGCAGCTCCAAGGTTTTGATATGAGATCCTTTTTTAACGCTTTTTGGCTTACACTGAAGGGCTGGCAGTATCTGGCAGACAGTGCTGCCCTTTTCATCTTGCTTTTGTTTGTAGTTCTTTGGGGAAAGGGCTAAAATATTCTGAATATAACCTTTCTAAGTGTTCTTGGTAGCATGCTCAGAAATGTAGAAGGATTATTTGATAGATGGTTTTCAGCATTCTGGTGCCCACAGAACCATGGCTAATCTTTCTAATCTTCTTTATCTAAGGTAATCTGTATATTCTGTCCTCTCTGAACTATGTATCTTATGCTGAAACTGCACTGACAGGAAGCTCTAAAATGCATATTTTTGTTTCTTTCTAACAGCTGGCTGTCCAGACTCCCTGATTAAAGAGCTTCATCACTTCAGGATTCTGGGAGAAGAACAGGTGAGTTAGCAGCATCTCAGCAGCTCAAAGGCAGCATCTTAATGTCATGGAAGATAGACGCTAATGAGACAGTTTCATCTCTCTCCAGGGAGGTAGAGTGTATCTCATGACCCCCAGTGACCTGAAATGTGGGGAAAAAACCACACAGGAGATGTATGTGAGATTTTCTTTTCATTCCATCCATCAGCCTTGACAGGTTATTAATTGGTACATCTGCTATCTGCCACAGCTTTTCAGCTTTCAACTACAGCAGTAAACAGGGTTTCTAAAACAGGAGACAGGCAAACAATCCGACTAAAGGATTGATACTTACAGCTATTCATGATATACTTTTTGTTGTCTTTTTTCTCTTTTAGAAGTGTCTCATTCATAATTGTTGTTGTGCTTGGCACTCATAAAACTATTTCTGTAGAGGGATTTTAGGAAAGCATTAGCGAAGTTCGCTTTACAATACTCACAAGACAGTCATAATTATTATTTTGTCAATAATGAAATCACCATACAGATATACTGAGTAATGGCCTTATATTTTGAGAGATAGGTTGAATTTTCAAATGCTGAATGCTTCTGAAATTCAAGTTGTCTTTGTATCTGAAGTATCTCTCCTAATGCACTGGTTATAAAGCCAAAATGAGTCGCAAGTACTAAGGCCTGAAAGCTTGGCATTAACGTGTTGTACATGAGAATATGTGCATTTCTTAAGGAACCTGGCACCAAGGGACTTGGACAAGATTTTGTGAGGGCTGTGACAGAGGTAGGAGCAGCTCCTGAAATGTTAATTCAAAGACTGTTTCTTAGTTTTTAGGTCAGATTCTGTTGTCAAGAACACCCTGTTGCTTTTCTTTTCCTTCACTCTCCTTTTTTTTTTTTTATCACAGATGAGGCTGCTGGTACGTTTTCTAGACTTCCAGGTTTCCCCCACCAGTCCCCACTTCAGTTGTTACAGAAAGTCAAAAGCCAAATTCCTCAGGGACTCAGCTTTTACTCAGCAAGAAGGCAGCATGATGGGGAGTGTGGGAGGGTTTGTCTGACAGGAATGGAAAAAGACAGAAAACAGACTAGGACAAAGGAGATCCTGGAAGCAGGAATCTGGTGAGACTGAGGATTTAGGAAGAAGTAATAAAAGAAATTATGACCAGGACTGATGGGGCCAATAGACCAATTACAGCCAGCTGACAAATGGAGGGCAGGGTGTGATGAAGCCTCGGGACACTGGAGACATGGGGCTGCCTGGTGAAAGAGGGTAGGTGGAGAAAGCAGACAAGAAGCTAGGATGAAGGGCTGAACTGAAAGAGAATGACGAATTATGCAAACTTGCTAAAGAGACTGGTAAATAAAGGAAGATCTGTACTTAATGAGCTGCACAAGGAGGTGAAGCTATGCAGAGTAGGAGGAGTGGGAAAAAGGGAGAGACCTGAAGGGAAAGTAAGGAATAGCTAAACCAAGAGACTGAGTATGAGTGGGACGGCTGAACCAGGCAGACCTTGATAGCTCAGAGGAGCTCTGAGGATGGGGTTGTAGACCCAGGCTTGCTAATGACCACTGACAGAACATTGTAATTTAATTGATGGACTTTTTTTTTTTCTGTTTGCTTTTTAGAAAAGAAACTGATAGACATAAAAAGTAAGGCTAAAAGAGTTAAGAGTGCAAATGAAGAATTCAGACATTAGGAAATGTCAGACTTAAGGTTATTTATTTTTAATGCTTTCTTTGCACTAAGAGAGCACTAAATTATATGGTTACACAAACATCAGAAGTGGGATGATGTAAGCCATAAAGAACCACAGGAGAAAAGATAATCAATTTCTGTCCAATAATAAGAGAAGTTGAATTAGAGGAGTTTGAAAAGGAAAGCCTCGCTAATCAAATAAATACAGTATTTTTGACACTTGGAATATTTTTGGTATTCTTTCAGACTTTTATGATAAAATTACTCTTTTTATTGAATACACCTAAAGAGATGAAAATTTTTTGTCATCATGCATTAGGAGCGTAAAACTGTGCAGATGGAAAGTTGTTTGCAGAATGGGTCTGACCTGTAAACAGTTGCCTTTTTCAGAAACTGGCTATTTGCGTACAGTGATTATCATTAATGTCTTTGCAAGTAGTGAACGTTGCCATGATGCTTTAATTATTCTATAAGCCCATACAAGTATAAAGAATATTACAATTATATTCTCTCCCCACAAAAACATTGTTATCTTGAGTCCATTGATGACCGCATCCTGCTTGAAGTTAGCACACACTTTGACAGACAGAAGTTGGTTCAAAACCTAGGTAAAAAAAGAAATAAAATTCAAATACATCTAAATGAATAAAGAAAGGAATTTCAGGTAAAGTCTTTATTCATATGGCTAACTTTTTCTTACTTTTATTTAGTTACATATTTGCTTTTTAAAAAGATATAGAGTGTTTTCTGTTATCATGCATACTAGATGGGAAAAAAAAATCATAATTATAGCACTGTTTTATTCAGACTGCTTACAGTTTTGGTATTATCAACCAACATATATACCTTCCACCCCAAGCAACAGTGAAAGAATAATAGGGTCATGCACTGCTTCATGTCCAATCTTGATTTATTTTTTAAATGCTTATGTGTTTAAGGCCAGATTATAAAAGCAGAATGGGCTATTGTGATAATCTGTTCTGATCTCCTTTAGAATGAACATTACATTACTTTCTTGGATTAATTCTTGTTTAAGCTGGAATATATTGCCTAGGAAAACATCAGTTCTTTGTTTACAAGTCGCTGCAGACATTAGATCCTATTATACCTCTCCATAGTGAAAGATGAAAAACTCCCAGCCTATTTTCTTTCCACCACCCTACCAGTATGCTCCCTACATTGCATATCTCCTGTTCCTTAGTGTTCAGATCCTTCACATTTCCTACTCCCTTTGTCCTGTCACAAGGCAATAGATGATCATCATAATAAATTACTTCAGTCTATGAATGCAACTCAGAAAAAAGCCACCATAGCCCTGAAACAGAACTAAAATAATTGCTTATACAGTAAAATGGCTGTTTGTCAGGTGACTTTCAGCTAAATCTGTTTCAGACAGAATAAAGAAACTTTGCAGTTTGAAGTGGAGATTCCCACTGGAAGTTTCAGATTTTGGTTAAACCAGTGGCTGCCATAGAAGAAATACAATTTCCCTTCTAAAGATTTCTATTTATTCATCTAAGTGGTTCCTTAGTGCTTTTGGACATGGATGGACATAGATCAGATTCAGCTCACAATCCATCACAATGCTTCCCAACCAGAAATTCTGTTCTGTAATGATGGGTAATAGATTGTTTCCTAGAAAAATAACTTTACATGTGACTGGGCTGAAAAGTTGTTTGCTTAAACAACTCTGAAAAACAGTTCAGATATCTCTCTAGCATGAACTTAACCATCCAAGATACATGTTCATTACTTCCTCTTACAAAATTGTTGCAAGCTTTATAATGTTCTATGTTCTTTATGATGTTCTATGTTCTTGGGTTTTTCCAAGTCATTGAAACAAACTTTAGGTGGCATAAGGCCAAGAATCAATACTTTAAGGACCTTTTTGGGAACACACCTGCTTAATACTGATTGCCCATTTACAATTATTTTAAACATGCCAGATAGGTAAGTTTTCAAACTCTTCGTATATGGCATGATAATTTCATACCATTCTAGATATTTAATCAAAATGCCAGGTGGCATCATGACAAATGCCTTAGAGAGGTCTGCTTCATCAATTTTTTACCATCATTCTTTACCTTTATAAAAAAATTCCAGTCAAATTACTCAATAAGTCAAGCAACTTTTTCCTAGTACAAAATGATGGTCACTACCATTTCTTCATTAAGTGTTTTCATCAAGTATAAGTTTCATCAAGTATAAGCTTCCTGCAAACACTTAAAAAATAAAATTTTTACTGATATCATTAAAAGAGAAAGGTTTTGAGCAGCTTTCAAAATCAAACCACTCAAGACCTTCTATATGCCCGCCAAATAACTTTTTTTCTATCTAAATGTAAGCACCGAAAGAAAAATAATGCTAAGAAAAAAAAAGGCTTTAACTTGAAGCTTCAAGAGTTGCTGATTAATCTAGAATTTCCTAAAAGGAGTTCTATAATAATCATAGAATCATAGACTAGTTAGGGTTGGAAAGGACCTTAAGATAATCTAATTCCACCCTCCCTGCCATGGGCAGGGACACCTCACACTAAACCATATCACCCAAGGCTCTGTCCAACCTGGTCTTGAACACCGCCAGGGATGGAGCATTCACAACTTCCCTGGGCAACCCGTTCCAGTGCCTCACCACCCTTACAGTAAAGAACTTCTTCCTTACATCCAATCTAAACTTCCCCTGTTTAAGTTTTAACCCGTTACCCCTTGTCCTATCACTACAGACCCTAATGAAGAGTCCCTCCCCAGCATCTTTATAAGCCCCCTTCAGATACTGGAAGGCTGCTATGAGGTCTCCATGCAGCCTTCTCTTCTCCAGTCTCAACAGCCCCAACTTTCTCAGCCTGTCTTCATACAGGAGGTGCTCCAGTCCCCTGATCATCGTTGTGGCCCTCCTCTGGACTTGTTCCAACAGTTCCATGTCCTTTTTATGTTGAGGACACCAGAACTGCACACAATATTCCAGGTGAGGTCTCATAAGAGCAGAGCAGAGGGGCAGGATCACCTCCTGCGACCTGCTGGTCACGCTCCTTCTAATGCAGCCCCGGATATGGTTGGCTTTCTGGGCTGTGAGCGCACACTGAAGCCGCCTTGTGTTCATTTTCTCATCGACCAACACCCCCAAGTCCTTCTCCACAGGGCTGCTCTGAATCTCTTCTCTGCCCAACCTGTAGCTGTGCCTGGGGTTGTTCCGACCCAGGTGTAGGACCTTGCACTTGGCATGGTTAAACTTCATGAGGTTGGCATCAGCCCACCTCACAAGCGTGTCAAGGTCCCTCTGGATGGCATTCCTTCCCTCCAGCGTATCAACCGAAACACACAGCTTGGTGTCATCAGCAAACTTGCTGAGGGCGCACTCAATCCCACTGTCCATGTCAGCGACGAAGATGTTGAACAAGACCGGTCCCAACACTGATCCCTGAGGGACGCCACTCGTTACTGGTCTCCAGCTGAACACTGAGCCATTGACCACAACTCTTTGCGTGCGGCCATCCAGCCAGTTCTTTATCCACTGAGTGGTCCATCCATCAAATTTATGTGTCTCCAATTTAGAGACAAGGATGTCTGAAGACAGGCTGAGAAAACTGGTGCTGTTCAGCCTGGAGAAGAGAACTCTGCATGGAGACCTCATAGCAGCCTTCCAGTATTTGAACAGGGCTTATAAAGATGCTGAGAAGGGACTCTTCATTAGGGACTGTAGTGATAGAACAAGGGGTAACGGGATAAACTTAAACAGAGGAAGTTTAGATTGGGTATAAGGAGGAATTTCTTTCCTGTTAGGGTGGTGAGGCACTGGAATGGGTTGCCCAGGGAGGTTGTGAATGTTCCATCCCTGGCAGTGTTCGAGACCAGGCTCAACGAGGCCTTGGGTGATATGGTTTAGTGTGAGGTGTCCCTGCCCATGGCAGCGGGAGTGGAACTAGATGATCTTAAGGTCCTTTCCAACCCTAACTATTCTATGATTCTATGTTGTGTGGGACAGTGTGAAACGCTTTGCACAAGTCCAGGTAGATAACATCATCTGCTCTACCCCTGTCCATCAGTTCTGTAGCCCCATCATAGAAGGCCACCAAATTGGTCAGGCAGGATTTCCCCTTAGTGAAGCCATGCTGGCTGTCACCAAACGCCTTGTTGTTTTTCATGTGCCTTAGCATGCCTTCCAGGAGAATCTGCTCCAAGATTTTGCCAGGCACAGAGGTGAGACTGACTGGTCTGTAATTCCCCGGATCATCCATTTTCCCCTTCTTGAAAATGGGGGTTATACTTCCCTTTTTCCAGTAGTCGGGAACTTCACCTGACTGCCATGATTTTTCAAATATGATGGCCAGTGGCTTAGCAACTTCATTTGCCAGCTCCTTCAGGACCCGCGGATGGATTCCATCAGGTCCCATGGACTTGTGTACGTTCAGGTTCTTAAGATGGTCTTGAACCAGATCTTCTCCTACAGTGGGCCCATGGTCTTCATTCTCACAGTCCCTGCATCTGTTTTCCAAGACTTGGGTGGTATGGTCAGAGCATTTGCCAGTGAAGACTGAGGCAAAGAAGTCACTAAAAACCTCAGCCTTCTCCAAATTCAGGGTAGCCAGTTCTCCTGACAGCTTCCAGAAGGGGGCTATGTTGTCCCTTGTGTGTCTTTTATTTACAATGTAATTATAGAATCCCTTCCTGTTATCTTTCACATCCCTAGCCAATTTTAATTCTAACTGGGCCTTAGCTTTCCCAATGTGGTCCCTAGTTTCCCAGACAACATCTCTGTATTCTTCCCCGGCCGCCTGTATCACAGTATCACAGTATGCTGGAGATTGGAAGGGACCTCAAAAGATCATCTAGTCCAATCCCCCTTAGATAACGTTACACAGGAATGTGTCCAGGCGGGCTTTGAATGTCTCCAGGGAAGGAGACTCCACAACCTCCCTGGGCAGCCTGTTCCAGTGTTCCGTCACCCTCACTGAGAAGAAGTTCCTTCTCAAGTTTAAGTGGAACCTCTTGTGTTCCAGTTTGCACCCATTACCCCTTGTCCTATCATTGTTTGCCACTGAGTAGAGCCTGGCTCCATCCTCGTGACACTCCCCCTTTATATATTTATAGACACTTATAAGGTCACCCCTCAGTCTCCTCTTCTCTAAACTATAAAGACCCAGCTCCCTCAGTCTTTCCTCATAAGGGAGATGCTCCACTCCCTTAATCATCTTGGTTGCCCTGCGCTGGACTCTCTCCAGCAGCTCCCTGTCCTTCTTGAACTGAGGGGCCCAGAACTGGACACAATATTCCAGATGGGGTCTCACCAGGGCAGAGTAGAGGGGAAGGAGGACCTCTCTCGACCTACTAACCACCGCCCTTCTAATACATCCCAGGATGCCATTGGCCTTCTTAGCCACAAGGGCACAGTGTTGGCTCATGGTCATCCTGTCGTCCACTAGGACCCCCAGGTCCCTCTCCCCTACACTGCTCTCTAGCAGGTCGTTCCCCAACCTATACTGGAACCTGGGGTTGTTCCTGCCCAGATGCAGGACTCTACACTTTCCCTCGTTATATTTCATCCCGTTATTCCCTGCCCAACTCTCCAGCCTGTCCAGGTCTCGCTGGCAGCACATATCCTTAGTGTCATCAGCAAACCTTATCTAAATCATTGATGCAGGTTCCACTAGTTACAGGCCTCCAACTAGACTCAGCCCCATAGACTACAACTCTCTGGCTTCTCTCCTTCAGCCAGTTCGCAGTCCACCTCACTACCTGGTCATCCAGTCCACACTTCCTCAATTTAGCCGTGAGGATGCTGTGGGAGACTGTGTCAAAGGCTTTGCTTTATGTCCTTGCTTCCACCTTTTATAAGCCTCTTTTTTCCTTCAGAGTTTCCTCAGCAGCTCCTTATCCATCCAAGGAGGTCTCCTGGCCCTCCTGCTGCACTTCCTTCTAGTTGGGACACAACACTCCTGAGCTTGTTGCAGGTGATCCTTGAATATCAACCAACAGTCTTGGGCCCCCCTGCCCTCTAGGGCTATATCCCATGGAACCTTACTCAGCAGGTTCCTGAAGAGGCCAAAGTCTGCTCTCTTGAAGTCGAGGGCAGTGAGCTTGCTGCACGCTCTTCTCACTGTCCTGAGGATCTCAAATTCAACCATCTCATGATCGCTGCATCCAAGGCTGCCCTGGAGCGCCACATCTCCATCCAGCCCTTCCCTGTTGGTGAGCACGAGTTCAAGCATGGCACCTCTCCTTCTTGGCTTCTCTATTACTGGCATAAGGAAATTGTCTTCCACACAATCGAGGAACCTCCTGGATTGCTTGTGCCAGGCCATACTGTCCCTCCAATAGATATCAGGATGGTTGGAGTCCCCCATGACAACAAGGGCCTGCGAGTGTGAGGCTGTTCCTATCTGTCTATAGAGAGCTTCATCCACAGAGTCCTCTTGATCAGGTGGTCTGTAACAGATCCTCACAGTCATGTCTCCCATCACCGTTCTCCCTTTAACCCTGACCCACAAACTGTTGACTGCTCACCTGTCCCCAGACAGAATTCCATAGTCTCCAGCCTATCCCTAACATAAATAGCAACTCCCCCTCCCCGCCTGCCAGGCCTGTCTTTTCTAAGAGCCTGTAACCTTCCATTCCAACACTGCAGTCATAGGAGCCATCCCACCATGTTTCTGCGATGCCTATTATATCATACCCCTGTAGACATACGCACATCTCTAATTCCTCCTTTGTTCCCCATGCTACAGGCGTTTGTATAGAGGCATCTGAGCTGAGCTCCAACTGAAGCCGGCTCATTGGGTGGTGCGGTTGGGGTATTTCTACATTGCTCCAAGCATTTATTATAGGTGCTGGCAACTGACTGGGTGTGTTGGGATGGAATGATGCCCCCCTCCCCCAACGCATCTAGTTTAAAGCTTTCTTGACCAGTCTGGCAAGCCTCCTACCACAACCACTCTTCCCCTTCATTGTCAGACCAGCTCCACCAGCCCCCAGTGGACCTGGCCTACTAAATTCAATCCCATGTTCTAGATACTCAAAGCCTTGGCTATGTCACCACCCTTCTAACCATTTATTAACCTGGCAAATCCTCCTAGCTTTTTTAAGGTCCTCCCAGCCTTTTTAAGGTCCTCTCCTTTATCCTGGAGAATTGACGAAAAGACTATCTGAGCTCCAGAGCCCCTAACCACCTCTCCCAGGGCTCTGTAGTCCTTATGTTCTCTGGGCTACTGGTATCTTTATCACTAGCACCCACGTGGGTCACTAGAAGTGAGTAATAGTCAGTGGGACTTACTAGAGCAGGCAGTCTCTCTGCAACATCCCTGATCCGTGCCCCTGGTAGGCAACACATCTCCCTTGAGACTGGGTCAGGCCGACAGATGGGAGCCTCTGTTCCTTTCAAAGCAGAGTCCCCTACCACTATGACCCACCACTTTTTCCTGGCAGCACCAGTAGAGATCTTTACCAGTGCATCAGCCGTTCATGATGCGAGTGCGTTTCCTCATCAGCCCCCTGCAGGACAGCAAAGCAGTTCTGGGTGGGGACAACAGATTTAGGAGGAAGTCCCTTGCTTTTAATTGTCCTCTTCCTCCTTTGTTGTGTTTGGGTTTTTTTGTGTTTTTTGGGTTTTTTTTGGCACTAATTCCCAGGTTAGCGGCCTCCTTCTTTCCTACATGATCTAGAGGGGAAGCCCGAGACTCCTGCACAGTTTGGGCCGGGAGCAAGCGTTCCTGCTTCCTCTCAGCTTCCCTGACATCTCGCAGCCTATTGACAGCATCCCGCAGCTCAGCCCCTGCTGCAGGAGGACCTCCACCAGGGAGCACCGAGTGCAGCCCTGCCCATTGCGCGCCCTCCCCTCACCAGACCAGTGCAGGCACTCTCCTCTCTACACCCCGAGCTCTGCACTGCAGCCTCCCCTCTCATCGGCTCTGTCTGGATGCCTACACCGGCCACCGCCGGGGCAGACAGAGCAGAGCTCCCGGAACGGGCCCTGCTCATACGACGAGTGCTCACCATCCCGCTCCCCTGCCCGCCCGAACTGCCTCGCCCCGCTCTGTTCCCCGCGCTCCCCGGGGCAGGTTTTTACCCAGCCAGGGCGGGTGTCGTCCCTCCTGGCTCCGCCCCGTGTGAGTCAGCTGCTCGCTCTCGTCAGCTGAGCTGCCGGCTCCTGGGCAAGTCATGTGGGGGACTCCAGGCTCCCTCGCTGGCCGTCGCCGCTCTGAGTTGAGGCTCCTGGACGCTGAGCTTCCCTCCGCTTAGCTATGGAAAGCGTCCTCTCTCTAACTACTCACCTCATCACCTGACCACAGTTGTACAAAAAACTGACACAGTTGTCCAAGTAGTCAAACTTTTTGGTAGTTTGCTGGACATGTCTTCTGTTCCCTCAGGAATGTAAATTATTGGAAGTTCATTCCAGCTGAAAAGCCTATCTTTTAAGGTTTAGTTGGTGGCAACAAGAGGGGTTTTAAAGATGGAATTGTTTTTAGACTTTATGGAAAGAGGTAATCCTAGTCTGAAATAGAAGGGTAGTCGTAGTCGTGGTGAAATAGAAGGGTATAAACTTCCCTGGTATATGATATGCATTTTGGATACCTGATTTACCACATAAAACTGGTTTTTTGAGTAGTTGCTATAATATGCAACACAAATACATTAATCAATAGATCGCTACCCCACTTGGTACTTGATGCTTTGAGAAAGTGCCAGAAACTCTGACCTAGAAAACTCTCCAAAAGCAGTTTTGACAGGTTTGGTTTGGATGTCCTTTTCACAGTCCACAAAGGTCTGTACAAGGCAAAGAGAGTCTCCTGGGCATGCAGCCCCAGGAAGGATAAAACCCGAAGCTTTCTAAATGTCCTTAGCTCTGTTGATTTTTTTTTTTTTTTGCAATTTGATCTCACTGTTCATAATCCGTCATTTCCCCTAGCATAATAATGGATGCAGTTCAACCTGCTGGCTAACTGCTTCACTTCATAGGTTCCTGAGATACACTCAGTATTGGGATAAAAGAGTTACTAACTGAGGAGCCATTGAAAAATAGTACAATATAAGAAATGGCAGTAGCCATTTGCCCTCTCAGGCTGGGTGTCTCTGCAAGTAAATGCAAATGGTTCTACAAGTGTTGATAGTATAAGCTGCTTACAAAAATATGTTCAAGATGCACTAGATATGGGATATGGCCAAATACAGTGGAGAGCAAGTAAGTCAACAGGCCAGTGCCAGAAACAGCAGAGAAAACACTTTAATTCAGACCTAAATGCTACAGTATACCAATATAGTAAGATGACGCGCAGTGAACTGTTATGGAGTCTCCCTAATGACTCTCTGAGAAATTTCACTCTTCTCCCCAAAGTGATTAAAAAATCTTGTTTAATTGTTTAAATGGAATATTGTGAATCATGAATAAAATAGCAGATACATCTGAAGGCTGGAAGGGAAAACAAATAATGCAATAGCAAGCAATCTGCTGCTATACCTGAGTGCCCCCAACAGGTCACAGTGCAGATGAAGCAGATGACATGCTAGTGGCAAGAAAAGAAGCTGCTAAGTAATGTATAGCTGCGCTTCTCTGCTATATCTTCTGCTCTGACAACTTTGCAGAATGTATTGGCCAGTTTCTTGATATTTTGACAGGGGAATGATCAGTTTTAACAGATCTCTTCTGTCAGCTGCTACTGCAACTCATATTACTGCTCACTTTTTCTTTAGAAATGTTGTGGGTGTTTGTATCCCTGGGATCTGAACAAACCCAAATGGGAGCGCTCCTTTTTATTTTTTCACATTTCCTTGCCAGATGGGGAAAACATATGCAAAGGAATACCCTGATTTGAAAATCTGCAGATGCACATCCTGATGCTGTTCAAAGGTGTGTGGGCTTTGCTATGAGCTGTAACTTCAGGAAATGTGGAAATCTAGTATTAAGAGATCACAGTGTGGACAGAAATCATTTAACATTAATTGAGGTTTTAAAGGAATGACATGTGTGGCAAGTGCATTTCAAGTATATGCTACAGAATATTAATTTTAAATCAGTCTTAAACTAATTGCTATGTATTAACCCATTCCAGCAAAAATAATGTCATGTGACAATTCAAATTAATCAGCTGAGTTCAGTGCAGGAAACTGTCAGATATGATCAACAAAGTGCTTCTGAAATATTTATGGGTCAAGAATTTTTGGTAACTACGCTTGGAAAAAAGTCACCTCTCAATAATACACACTTGGCGGGGGCAGAATCACTGCATATTTTTTCCCACTTTGTAATTACTAAACCAAACCTATTTTGTTAACATTCTCAAATCTCTCTTTCTTGCACCTCTGCACTTTCCCACGCAGACCCCTGGCTTCAGCTACTACTTAACATGAGTGATGCCTACATTTATCTCCTTTTTTTCCACTTCTTCTGTCTTAATATCTGAATTCTGTCTATCTCATTTGTCTCAGCTTTTGGATTTGTCATCACCAATCCATTGCCTGCTCTCTAAAATTGAACTCTTGATCCTCTTTACATCACTTTTTTTTTTTTATATATAGCTGGAATTACACAACAAAGCTTACTGTCTTGCATTTTCTTATGACCAGTGATGAGCCCCTTTGTACAGACTTTGATCTGCTTCCACAGGACGTGAATGTATTTATTCCTGTGACCTGAGAAGTGGAATTCCTGGAATCCAGTATCTATTTGACTGAATCTCAGTTGCACAATTTGCAACAATATCAACAGAAAAGATTTCCTTAAATCAGTTAGAGCCATGGTGGTTGTTACTTGTAGGGGAGAAAGGAATATGGATTTGAGCTCCACAAGGAAGGAACTGGATGTTTATCTCCAGCATTCAGTCTGTTCAGTGTGATCACCCAAATACCAGCTGAAAGATCTCAAGTTTTCAATGGTTTGTAAATATAGTGCCAAGCCATACACTATGTTTAGTCCACTTTCTTCATTGCAGCGTATTGCTTCTCATATATTCAGTTTGATCTCCGATTCAACCTGCTTCAGTGTCCTCTCTTCTCAGTACTCTTTATTTTCTATTTTCATATTCCTCACCTTTTGCTTTCTTTCATATCATTCTGCAAACTGCAGTCTTTCCTTTCTTTCCCCCTCTCTATTCCAGTTTAATTTCATCCATGAATTGTGTTGCATTGATCCAGTCAGGGGATTCTTATCTAAATATTTTCTTGAGACTGCCTCACCCAGTTTTCCATGACTTTCCAAAGTCAGGCAAATTCCAGCCTTCTAGAAGGTGGTTGTCTTTCTGGTCTGCTTTGTGGAGCTTCTGCGGGAAAAACAAGGAGCTGATGCTCTCCACTTCCTATCCTACTACTGGCTAGCAGAGGAGCCCAGTAACTCAGGAAAAATTAAATAAGGTTGCCCCATGGAGACTCATGTCAGTCCACATCTTTTAATCTGTATTTTAGATGACATATTTGTATAGTCATCTAGTTGTCCTGACTTGTACCAGGTTTTATCTTCTTCCAATTCTCCTCCCCATCCCACCCAGGAGAGCGGGGTGCAGGGAGTGAGCAAGCAGCTGTATGGTACTTGCCAGCTGGGGTGAAACCATGACCCTAGTCCAATAAGTACTAAGGGGTTTATACTTTAAGTTGCCTAATTACATTACAGAACTAATTCTAAGGGGTTTTTTTGTGTGTATAATACATATAAATAAAGTGCTTAGTCTACATTATGGACTAATAGCCTCCACAATCTAATTTTGAAACACACAGATGGTTATTTGATTTATAAGAGCAGTAAAAACAATCTGACACCAGAAAGTAGATTTTCTTTCATTTGAGACCATTACATGCAGTTAAAAGAAACAAGTAACTGAATTACCTTTCAAAGATTAAAAATTTTGGCTGTACATCTACTATTAAGCTTTTGTCTAAAGTTCCCTGCAAGGCTACTACTGAGCAGATGCCTTTAGGTGTGAGGGGAAAAAAAAAAGGAAAATAAAACTGTGCCCAAAGTGTAAAGGCAAAAGCAAAATAGCACAAGGCATATGTGCTATGGCAGGGAAGGTTGGAATACATGATCTTTTAAGGTCCCTTCTAACCCAAACTGTTCTACGATTCTAGGATATTAAAGCATATTGCAAATTAAATAGTATGGTAAGGAATCACTGTGTTCACAAAGAGCATTTTGCAAGTTTTGTGCATCCAGGTGAATATCCATTTTGCTTAGTATCTGAATCTCAATGTAATTGAAAAGACTGAATTCTATAGTTAAACCTGTTTTATTCTTTTGTCAGCCCAATTATTTCATGTATATTACCCTTGATTTACAACATCAAGTGATTGAATTTCCACTGGTTGAAAACCAAGTAGGTGCCATTCTATGACTCAAGAAAAACCATCCCCATCTAGAAAATAGGGAACAGGGAATAAATGATTACAGTTATATAGCCTCCATATCTGTGTCATACTGTAATTTATAATCACTTATAAAAATACTTTCTAAAGGCCCTGACAAGTCTTTATGAGCAGATTGTGCAAAAGAACTTCATGATATGGTTGAAATACCATAAGTAGAGCTGTGAATCTTTTCCGGTTAGAATTTTATTCCATGAAAAGTATAGCTTTGGTTGACTGGGACAATTCACAAATTGAGGGGAAAGTTCACAAGATTAAAAAAAAAAATCAGAACGTTTTATGTTTATCTTGTTCATATGCCTTTAACTGTCTTAGCCTTGTTGATTCAGGGTAAATCATATTTTTTAGGTCTTTTTTTTTTTCCCCAAAAAATAAGCATTGAAATGTATGGTTCTATGGTGAATCCAACAACTACTTATCTACCTGTATTTCTGAGGTCCTTATTACAGTAGCATATAAATTGCTGACATGCTTTGCTCAAAAGCTACTTTCTAGCAGCAGGAGACGGATGGTGATATCTGTGTAATTTTATGAGCCTCATTGCCATAGTATTTGATGTTCTCATGACTATTAATGGCTTTTGCCTCTTAACACTACAATGAAATCAGCAAGTATCATTCTCCCTCTTTACAAGTGGGCAACTGATAAGAAGCATAGATTAAGTACCTTATGTGAAAACCACAGGAAGGCTGTGCTGCTGCCAGGAATGAAATCAGGTGCCATGAATACCAGTTCAGTCAAGTTCCCCATATATTAAACTTTTTAAGAAGTTTTTCCTAAAAATAATTGGAGATATTTTAGCTTCTTGTAGAATGAAGAACCATTTTACACTGTGATGATGATGATGAGTGTATCTCTAAATAGGAGGCACATTGATAGTAATTGACTAATAAATACTGTGAAATATTTTGAACATACAGAAGACTTCATAGACTCCTCTTTAATGACAGCTCTTTATGTGTCAGATATCAAGCCTAAGTTAGTTTTCTTAGCTTCAACTATAGCACTTCCACAAGGAGATTCATCCTACCTATCTTAGACATCACAGCAGTGATAAATTCCCTATTCCCTTCTTGGGATCTTGATTCTTCTCATTCGGTGTATTTGGAGCCTATATTACTTATTTAGGTTAGATGTTTAAGGTGTGAAGAGCTAATATGGTGTGAAGTGGTTCACAGTCCAAGCTACTTAGGTTCTTAAACCTTATTTTCAAAAATAGTTTAGGCCAGATGAATTAGGATGAGGATTATTGGAACTGAAACAGCTGTTGTGGGAGTCACCTGATTTCAGGTGTCAGTATCTAAAAAATTGTCTGATCTCTCTTTATTGTTAATAGAACAGGGCACTCCCGTGCTTAGTTCTCACATACAAATCTAAAAGAAAAAGATTAATTGCGTCCTATCTCTCCTGTTAATTATAAAAAGAGTCCAAGCAACCAGCACAACTATAGGCATCACAACCACAGAAATCCAAACTAAATGGAGTGATGGTGGTTGTCTGCTGAGTATCCTTAAATATCTCATCCAGGCATATGATCAAAAATACATCATGGGCTCCAAAGACATTTAAGGGCTTTTGAAAATTGACTTGCTATAAGCATGTTGATTGTATCAGTCTTGTGTGATATGTATAGCTGTGATATATAGGAAAAGAATGCCTCTAATAGACATAATCTGTGACTATATGCAATTATTTAATAATTAATTAATAAGTGATTTGGTCCTTTACAAGCCTTTTATAAATGCACCGTTAATGTAAAGTGAGTCATTTTGTTTCAGGACACTGAATAAAGAATATAAATCCATGTATGTTATGTATGACTGTGTTACGGCAGCAAAAGTATATGCGTTCTGCTCTACGTGGTTTAGTTGGTTGCTGGATTTTATGTGAGCTAGTGTACAGGCACAAAGAAAAAGAAATTGGAAAATGACACCTTATAAATGTATCTGTACTTTGAAGGTAGAAAACAGGCTGGTAACTAGATGTCAAAATGTGGAAATGCATTCAGTAGGATTTTTCCTGTGTTGAAATGGGATCATTTTAGGGGGATTTTATAGTGTGAAAAACACTGATGACAAGCTCTACTGATTTGGTAGAAGTCCTGTGCTGAACCAGTATAAAATGTCAAATTTTTAGACAGAATATAATGGCTTTGTCCAGTTTGCCAGTAGATAGACTGGACATTTCTTTCCTGTAACTTTCTTTAACAAGACAGATTGATTCCCAGCTTATCTATCTTACATTTTTGTGTATTAAAACAACAAAAAGGAGACAAGATGGGAGAAATCTCTCCATGTCCTTTTTTGCTGTGTTAATGACTGGAAAGCATATCCCTTTTTTCTACTGAGAGTTTATAATGGAAATGCTGACAGAATCTCAGCTACAATGTCACTGGTGTTTGCTGCCGTAATGAGAAGCTGCTAACAATCCCACATCCAGCACAATGTTCCCTCTTAACACAGTAAGTCACCATCCTCACCTTCAGGTCCAGTGTCTGCCTTGAAGAAAAATTAGGTCAGCAGGGAATTTTGCAGCTGTGGTTACCCATATTTCTGTTCAAGGCGAGCAGAACAACTTGGAGCACTCAGCATGTATTTAGTGCAAGGATTACAAACTTTGCTGAAAATTGGTAGACTCCAACATTAAATATTTATGCCATTACTCTATGTTCGAGCATAACAATAACATAGAAAGACACTAGTCAACTTGTTGAGCCCCTGTATTCAAGGAGATTTTGCAGACATTTATCCTACATTTCTCAAAATACTGTTATTTTCTAGATCTGAGATCCTTAATTCAGCATTTCTGTCTGTTGTTCACACACTGAGTGATATATTGAAGGCTTTCTCTCCTTTTAGATTTTGTCCTCCTTTTGTTTGGATTTTTTGTAAATTGACAAAGGCAGATACCTTCAGTTTGTTAATTATTTCTTCCTGTGATCGAGCACTTTTGTGTCTCTATATTATAATGGTTTAAGATGTCATATACTATTTTTAAAAAGACAGTGTAACAGGATATGTTATGGCAATATTTGCAGAAAAATCTCAAATGTACTCAGAAAACATGCAGTGGAGCCCCTGTGTTATGATTTAAAATGCTTCTTTGTATGCTTTGCGTATGAGGTTTTGGTCCTAATATTTGGTCCTTGAATTTTAGTTGTGGGATTTCTTTGGGGAGTGTTGCAGATTGAAGAAAGAATTTTTTGTTTGTTATCGCCCCCAGAAAGGAACAAGATTTTCATGAGCAGTTATGAGATAAAAGTTTATGAAGCACTAAATACTGCTGTGAGTGCTGTAACATAAAGCTCCATTTTGTTCCTTTAGCCCACCATAAATTCATTCCACTCGCGGAGAAAACTCATGCTACTTCCTTCCTCTTTGGCCTTTGGATTTTCCTGTTTTCTTTGGAGCTGTTAGAACCAAATGCTTTCATTTATTTCACTTTACAGTAGGCCAGATTTATAGGCAAATCTGAAGCCTGGTTTACAATGGTTATATAGCCATTAGTGTGGAACTGCACCAACACAGAACCCTAGAGTGCCTGTGATTTACATGTACACAGCATGATTTGTACTTGCTCAGTTTATCTCCAGCTGAAAGCAGGGTAAGTTAGACCAGGGAAATTCATTGCAATGGCATCAGTCATTTCAGAGTGGGCTTTTTTGTTAGTGAGGATACACCGAGCATGTTATTTAATATTGCTCTGTGTCTGTGTCTCCGTCATTGAAATGAAGGCATTTCCATAGCCTTTTAGGCTATCAGGGTGGAACTAGATGAAAACTGCAGAAACTAAGAAAATTTCCTGGGAGACCCTGGAAAAAACCTACACCTAACATTGAAATAAATGTGTGTCAGAGAATTATTTTGCCAATCAGTTTCATGAAATCTATTTTGAAAATAAAATTGGCTGCACGATTTTTACTACACTTTAGCTGTAAATCATTATGTGATACTTCTAGCTATAGATCCTTGAGGGGTTTTGAGAATTTCTTTTCAGTCTCTATTCAGCATTTATCAGTATCTGCTGTTGGATTACATTTATGATGCTTACAGTATTTTTTTTGTAACAGTGTAAGAGTTCTTGAGGTTACTTACATAAACAGTCTATTATTTTCTTGATTTTAATATCCCCCACAATTTTCTGGTAGTGCAAATGATATTTGTGAGTCACAAAAAGGATGTGTATGATGTGAGTCAGCTCAGAGTGACACCCCATTTAACAACACTGTGGAATTTTACACTTTCTGCAAATAACTGAACTTAGCATGTAAGACATGGAGTCACAGAATGTACGGTTAACATCTGGATGGTTGACTTGGTTATGTGGGAGAGATTTAAGCTCAAAGGTTTGGGAGTGGGGGGTATATTTGTGTGTTGTTGGAAGTTTAACACTGGTGTGTTGTATTGTAGTACAACCGCTACCAGCGCTATGGGGCCGAGGAATGCGTGCTGCAGATGGGAGGAGTGCTGTGTCCAACTCCCGGCTGTGGAGCAGGTTTGCTTCCTGAACCAGGAGTGAAGAAAATTGTATGTGAACCAGGCAATGGAATAGGCTGTGGGGTAAGAGCATACATTTTTCTACTCGTGTGTGGGAAACAATGGATATTGTACAATATGATTTTTCATTTTTCCATCAGTGACTGAATTGTCCTTCACACCAGAATGGGATACTGTAGCTCAGTAAACAATTTAAATATAGCACCATGGCTTAGGAACAATGGCTTCATTGCATAGACTATGTCCATTCCAGAATTCTTTGCTTTACTTGGTTTAAGAAGTTGCTGAGTAGTTATAGTAAGAAATTGAACTGTGCAAATGACAATCTAAATGTGCTTTGACCTTCTCCTTGCACCCAGCAAAAATGAATGGGATCTTGGGCAAATCATTATTCTATAAACACCAACTTTCTTTATAAGTAAGACCTTGCTTATATGTGTTAAGCTACACAATGAAAAGAAATATAGAAATCTTTTTGTTTGCTCATAAAATTATTTTTAAGAAGAGTGAATGCTCAAATAATGGTGGAGTTCTGGAAAACAAAACCACATGACACATGAAAATGTTTTTGCTAGGAGGTCAGATCGTATTTTTTTGATCAATGATTTTTTTGGCAGTAGAAAAAAACAGGTACTTTACAGTAATCAAGCTTTGGGGGAAATAGAAATATGTAGAGAGAAATATCTAAATAAAAGATTTAACTAACTGATGTTTGTACTAAGTGACTCCATGCAGGCTATGAGAAAAGAGAAAATACCTATATTTGTAAAATATTATCATGCTCTTGCCCTTGTCTTTCTTGTGGAAAATGCACTTTTTATTGCAGTTTTGGTGTTGCCTAAACTGATACAGTGGAAGAGTAATAGTTTGCTGAACTAGGAATTTGCAGTAGCCTGTCTTCTATGAGTAGGTTAGCATCTGTCGACCTTGGTCAAATTTCCTATCTGTCCATGCAGTGGTGCATGTAAAACAGAGTACTCCCCAGACTCACTGAGCAGACATAGGTCTATAAAAAAAAGCAGAAGGTGGGACAGTAATAAGAAACAAAACTGAGTAAACAACGGGAAATTCTTCTGGATTAATTATTAGGGTTTGGTTAAAAAAGATAAAATCACAAATGATTCTCACTCTGCTCTTTGCTTTGAAGTGATGAAAATCAAACTGGTTTGCAGCTTCATTCATCATCATTCTGAATCTGCAAATGCCCTGTAAATAAAGTGTACATAGCATAGAGGATTGATGAATTGCCTGGTTTAGCAAACAGTTCTGTTTCCTTTTATGGACTTTGTGCTGTGCTGGTTAGAGACAAAATCTGCAGCCTTGAGTATAACCTCAACCTTTGTTTTGAATTACATGACATCTTTGAACATTACGGGGTACAATTCACTAATGCTGAAATTAGAAGCAAGAGGCTGGTCTGCAAGCCAAATTTTGGTAACATTAAGGCCCTTCCTCAGAATCTGTAATGGAACAGAGTGAAAATATGTGTCTTTAAATCTTTATTTGCACCTTGACAAATGATAACCTCAAGGAAGATTTGTTACAGATGATGGTGAGGGTCTAAACACTGAAGTCAGTTGCCAGAGACAAAGCTGGCTGCAGGTAAGGATCCCCCTGCAAGGATACCAAGACAGTTAGGAAGACTGTTTATTTCTGCTTCATTTTCTGAAGTCATTTTGAGTTTTTTCTATTCAGAAAGTTAAACTATGGTGAGTTTTCTCCCAAACCTGGCCTTTTTTAATGTGAACTCTTTATGGAATCCAAGAACATCCACTTCAGAGCTCTGGGCTTCCTCACGAGTGTACACAATGATTTATAATCTCAAAGAAAGGCCAAGATGAAGAATGTCCCTTTTGTCCATCCCAATTAAGGCTGCAAAAGGTGCCTTGAAATGCTTACATGTACAGCTTAGGTTTCTTGTTGAAGCTGGTAAGCAAAGAAATAAGGATGGTAATGTGAACCAGGAGGTTCTCTATGAATATAGATGTCATCGTTTAAGCTATACGTAAGATATGTAGAGTCTTTTGGAGGGTATTTGAACCTCTGTCTTTGGGTAAAGTTCACAGTTGATAGCATATTGCTGACAACAGAATTTACATCTAACATCAGTGGTCTGTTATTCACCCAAAAGCCCTTGTAGAGAAATAGTTGTCTACTGCACAAAACAGACCAATTGTTTGGGTCAGAATTGCAGTATAAGGGTAGCTATCAACTGTTAAATAGATGGAGATTTTAATTAACAGATGAGATGGATCAAGGGGGATAGGAGGGAGAGGTTTTCAAGAGAAAGTGGAGAAGTAAATTAAAAAGGATTTTCAGGAGCCATTTTCAAAAAGGAGAGGCAGAAAAAAATAGAGAATAAACTGGACACTGGGGTCTGAAGCAAAGTACATATTCCATTATTCAGCAAAAAAACCTGCGAAGCAGTCCCAAACATGTAAGGACTCCAACATGAAAGAGCATTGAAATACGAACAGGTAACTGAGCCAGGCTAGGATACTGACATTTTGCCTTTCTCAGTTTCTTTCTCTGGTATTTGAAATGAGGAACTAGAATCTGGTTTTCCAAAGTCAAGGCTGTTGGTGTCAAAGCTAAATGTGAGTCTTCAAGAGAGGGCTTGTAATTGCCACAGGAGCCTTTGGGAAAGGTAAAGATAGTGGATTTTGCTTTGTCTCAGGAAATTTGGAAACAGAAATATATGGGGCCCAGAAACAGCCTGGTAAGACAACTGTACCAAAAAGTGAGGAGCAAGGTTTAAATTTAAGCATCCCCATATGTACCCTCTGCACTCAGGCACTGCTATCTATTCAGGCTTTAAGGCAAAGAAATAGAACAAAAGAGATCTATTTTGACTTGAGAAGTAGCCTGCAAATATGTTTTTAATGATTATGAATAGTCCTCGCCAAAGATATGCTGTACCACTGACTGCCATCACTCCTGCCTAATCTTTCATATTTTTTATCATTAGCCATAAACATATTAATTGGTTTACCAAGATACTACTGTTATACACTGTTGTTCGACCTTAATTGCTATGCATCAGACCTACATTACTAACTTCTGTTGCTGAGATACAAAATTTTGACATATTTAATATCAGAAATCGGCAACAAAACCTAGAAGACAGTACATTTGTACTAGCTGGCCTGTGCGCAGGAAGAGCTGCGGTAATTGAGGCATACAAAAGCTCTATGAATAAACATTTTTGTCTTGTTTTATATTATACTGGCATATTATTTCCTACATATTAAAGAAAATAATTTGGGGTTGAAATTAGGTTAGAATGGAGCTTGAAAACAGACTGTGCTACTTGTTTGTTTCTACACATGCAGCTCATCTGTCTTGCAAAACACCCCCTGTCAATATCTTTCAGTGAGATAACTGACTAATGAGGGACTTGCATCCCAGCCCTTGTTCCACAACTGTGTAAACATTTTGCAGCATGCCATATCAGTTGACATATCCTCTGGCATGGGGTGAGATGGGAGACTGAGGATAGTGGAAATAGAGCTTCTGACAGTCTTTTCCTCTTGAGTTTACTCATTCCTATCATAGTCTGAATAAGCAAGAAGAATATATTTGCAGAGATCCTCTGTTGTTTGAAAATCCCTTGCTAGGAGACTTGACTCTTGAAGGTTCATGGAGGTCCTGAGACAACTCTAAACTATCCCAAGGTCTGGGTGACAATTTAAACAGTCATAGAAACAAACTGTCACAAGTGATGTTTTTGTGGCCCTTCATTCTATCTCCTAATGCAAAACTCCAGTCTGCAAGTGTATACTGAACCTTAGTGTAATAAATGTGCAATGATAAAGGAAGTTTTATAACCTTGCAAAAGGAGCACAAAGCTTGGGGTTATTTCACCTCTTTTACACTATATTTACTGTTCTGTAAGCATAATGCCATTGAAGAAGAGCAAGATTTCACTAAAGATTTGTTCCCTTCTCAGGCAAGTGAAATTTTTACGTTGCAGACTGCAAGAAGTCCCCCAAAATAATGGCTATAAATACCTTGTGTTCCTTATAAATAGAATTTCTAGATCATTGTATTACATAAAACAAAATCCCTAAGGCAATTTTGCTTCTCCCAGCAATTTTTCCCCATTGATTTCTTCTTGCATTCTTCTTCCATGGCTAAGGAAGCATATGTCAAAAGCAATTGCAGCGTATTTGTAGAATTAATAATTGTCTGCCTTTTCAGAAAGCTTAATAGAGGACACTCTAAAATAGTTACATGAGAAGTGCAATATGCAATATACGGTCCTGGTGTTTGCAAAGCTGTTTTTTGTGGTCCATTATCTCCTGTTCATGCATTTCCTAGCATGCATGTTTCATGATCAGTGATGTCTTTGTTAAGCACAGTAACATGCATATAGGCAAACTAATAATTGGGAAAAAATGTTTGGAGAAAACAAATCTGAGTTATGAAAATTCCAAGCAACAAATTCTATCCACTTTATTTTGATAGTACAAGTCATGATTCTATGAGTTGGTTGTGTCCTTCTAAACTTCTGGAGTGGGGTTGTTTATTTTAGGGTTTTATATCTCAATGGGAGTGCTATGTGAGTGTAGCTATACCCCCCCCCCCCCCCCCCCCAAATCTGAACTAGCTAGCAATTACTTTTTCAGAACTATTTTGTGTATATTAAAGTGGATGAGAGTTTGTAAGTGTACTACAGTCTAGAAGTGAAAAGCGGTTTTCACATCTGGCAGTTTTAAGTAAGTCTTTTGGTGTTAAAGTTCAGCTCTAACATAATGTATTGTCATGATCAGCGTGTACTTTCTTTGTGCACTTTCTATCCATCTTGTGCCTAGTTTTGGCACATTATTCCTTATATGTTGCCTGATCAAAAATTCGAAAGTCTGACTAACCTAAAAGACTTTATTTTCAAACCGAGATGTAGGTATAAATGTTTGGTTCAAGACACGTGCTTTGCTTCTCCATTAGCAGTACCAGGAAAATCTTGAATGTATGTAAAGAAAAAGTAGGCACCTTTGAAAATATTTCAACATATAAAGATTGTCCAGATGAGTAGTGGTAATTCAATGCAATCTTTGAAGACT